TTCAAAAGAGTGCTCTCTTCACGTTCCACGAGACTCCACCGTCGACTTCAGGCAAAGTATTTTGTTGCGTGTTGCGCATGCGCGAAATGCGCATTCAGTTTGTGAAGTCCCCATGTTTTGGTTGTGTAAAGAGTGATGATAACACCAACAACCGTTTGTGTATATATTAGGGCTGTCAAAATTATCGTTTTGACTCACGTTAATTACATTTTTTATTAACGCGTTATTTTTTTTAAACGCATTAACGCATGTCATGACCCGCCCATTTATCCATAAGAATATCACTCAGAATGCTGCGTGTGAGATGGCCTCCTCCGTGGCCTCTCTGGTTGTTGTTAGCGGCTGTGAGTGAGTGCAAGCTTTGCACGGGCTGCAAGCATGGATCTAGCTATTATAATAACAGCAGCAAGCGATTGCTCCGTTCACATACTCAGCGCTCTGCGCACTGTATTTTCCCTGGTTCTTGTCTGTCAGGCGCAAGTGTTGCTCGTGTGTGTCTTTGGGAACTAATTATTTTAAAATAGTCTCTTTCAATTGCAAGTTTTGTAATCTGTTTGTTTGATCAATGGATAAAAATAAATGCAATTTAATTAAATGGCACCTTGGCCTGTCTTATACCTGTTTGCCTGCAGGACAGTTCCCTAAACTAACATATCATACTAAAATAGGGTGGGGTTGTTGCAACAATTAATCTACTTAGAAGTTATCCTAAATTACAGCCAGCTAAAGCTCGGTACCACGACAAACGAAAAAGTAACGCAATAGTTACTTTTACTGCTAACTAGTTACTTTTATAGTGGAGTAACTCAGTTAGTAAGTCAATTACTTTTTGGAAGAAGTAACTAGTAACTACAACTAATTACTTTTTCAAAGTAACTTACCCAACACTGGTAATTATATTTGATAATCTCATTTAACTTCAATTGGAGTGGATTTGAAATAGAATGTTAAACATGCGATTAATCGTGAGTTAACTCACCATTACTATGCGATTAATCAACTAAAAAAAATGAATCGTTTGACAGCCCTAGTATATATATATATATATATATATATATATATATATAATTTGAACCGAGAATAGAACACATCTTTTCAGTTGGTTCATACTTTTTCATACATAATTCAGTTTTGATGCCTTCAGTGTGAATCTACAAGGTTCATAGTCATGAATAAAAATAAAAAATCCAAACTTTTGGTCTGTACTGTACATACATGAGATGAGCACTTACACTTTAAACATGTCTTTTGTCCTATTAGATTTATTTAATTGATTTTGACATGACAAGCTATAATCAATCATGATCAAATATGTATCTGATGTGTGTGTGTGTGTGTGTGTGTGTGTGTGTGTAAACAGTTTGAGCATTTACAAAATCCGGGTCTACGGTGTGCTGACCTGATCCATGCTGCAAATTGACTGAAAGTAGCATGGCACAAAGTTGTGCTCCCCCTCAACCCTGATTAGCATTTGTATAGCTCACAGCATTCCCATTTACATGTTAAAGCCTCCTGTGGAGGAGGGAGGAGGGGACAACAAACTACCGTCAACAGCCGAATCCCAGAAGTTTCACAGTAATATACAGGGCCGAAAAGAGACGAAAATCACACTTTTCATGCAGTGACTCCTCTGTTCTCCTTCTTCCCTCATACACTCAGAGGAGCAGGGAACATAAACCAACCTCACGCACTGTGCAGTGTTGGTCCGAGGAGGCTAGCATGAAGCTACAAGGGTGTTTTGATGCCACTGACTGGTCTGTGTTTCAGTCAGAGGATGTTAATGAATTCTGTGACGCTGTGACTGGATACATACGCTTCTGTATTGACTGCTGTGTCCCACAGAAGGTCATTAAAGTACATCTCAGTCAAAACCCTTGGATGAACGCGGAAGTGAAACAAAAACTTCATGAGCGTGTTCTGGCGTTTCAATCTAACGATACAGTTGCCTATAAGCTATCCTGTTACGCATTGAAACGTTCTATTAAATCTGCAAAGCGCAGTTACGGGGACAGGTTAAAGGGTTATTTCAATGAAGATGACCCTCGGCGCATGTGGAGCGGTATTAAAGCCATCACGTCCTGGAAACCTAGTGCTGGGAATATCGGATCTGTTGGCCCAGCTCTGCCTAATGAGCTGAACACGTTCTACTGCCGCTTCGAATCTGCTGATGGTTGTCCTACTGTCTTTCCTGATTGTCTCAATCAAGGTGCGTTCACCGTGACTCAGGAGGTAGTCCAGCGGGTCTTGTCCAGCACCATTGTCCGGAAAGCCCCTGGCCCGGACGGCATCCCACCCCGTTTCCTGAAACTGTGCTCTGAGCAACTTGCCCCTGTTTTAACAGACATTTTTAACCTGTCGCTAAGGAACTGTACTGTGCCGAACTGCTTCAAAGAGTCGACCATTATCCCAGTTCCTAAGAAAACTCCTGTGACATGCCTTAATGACTATCGTCCTGTGGCCCTCACTTCTGCCCTAATGAAGACTTTTGAGCGGCTTGTGTTGGACTTCATTAAGAGCCAGATCCCTGTGAGTGTTGACCCACTCCAGTTCGCTTACAGACAGAACAGGAGTGTGGAGGATGCCATCTCCTTTGCTCTGAACTCTGTCTACAGTCACTTGGACAATAGGAAATCTGTTGCAAGAATGCTGTTCATTGATTATAGCTCTGCTTTTAATTGTCTTGTCCCAGGTATACTGATTTAAAAACTCATGTCTCTCGGCTTAAGTGTTGCCATGTGTAAATGGATCTATAGCTTTTTAACAGACAGATCTCAGAGAGTGAAAATCAATGACTGTTTTTCAGATGTTGTTTCTGTGAGCACTGGATCTCCTCAGGGATGTATTTTGAGTCCTTTACTTTTTACACTGAACACTTATGATTGTGTGTCTTCCTCAGCCTCTAACCTGATCCTTAAATATGCTGATGACACCACCATCATCGGTCTCATCAGTAATAACGATGAATCGTCTTATAGAGCCGAGATCCAAAACGTGGTTCAGTGGAGTAAGGCTAACAACCTCCAGCTGAACGCATCCAAAACATGTGAACTGGTCTTTGATTTTAGTCGCAATAGTTCTCATTTGCCTGCCGCAATCGATAACTCCCAAGTGCAGATTGTAGAGGAGTGTAAGTTTCTGGGTCTAACTCTGTCTAATGACCTGAAATGGGTTAAAAACACTGACCGGGTCGTAAAGAAAACTCGTCAGTGTCTCTACTTCCTGCGGAAACTTAGAGAATTTACCACTAACTAAGATTCTGCTGAACTTTTATCGCTGCACCATTGAGAGTTTACTTGTTGGTTCTGTGTCTGTGTGGTTCGGTAACATCACAGATAAAGAAAGAGCTTTAAACAAGGTGCTCCGCTCTGCTAAGAGGACTGTAGGCTGTGAACTTCCTGTCCTGGAGGCTCTTTATCAATCCAGACTTTTTAACAGTGCCCTGAGAATTATCAATGACTCTTCTGGCCACCCAGGAAAAGCCTTGTTCCAGCTTCTTCCCTCTGGCAGAAGATATTGTTCTCTGAGATGCAGGACATCTCGTTATGCTAATAGTTTTTTTCCACGAGCTGTTATCAGTTTGAATAGAGCACTTTAATGTTTTTCCACTTGTACAGATCTGTTTTGGTTGGTCAACTTCACAGTGACATTTGTTTACTGTTTTTAAAATTTGTTTTATTTTTGTCTTCTAATGTTGTTTTATGTCTGTACTTGTCCTGTGCACACTGGGAACTTTTACTAATGTATTCCAATGTAGTGTTACTGCAAATGGCGAATACAATGAATCTGAATCTGAATCTGGACCATGACTGTCACCCCCTGCAGGACACACTCTGCTCTGGAGAGCAGCTTCAGTGACAGACTTATTCACCCTCGCTGTGTTAAGGAGAGGTTCCGTTCTGCTGCTGTCAGACTGTACAATGAGAAATGCTGAGCCTGTAAATTTCATTAATATTTATATTAGTGAATTCTTAAATCATGTGCAATGTGCAATACTGCAACTTCAAAATATCCCCTGAACAATGTCACTTTACTTATCATCCTGCACTATATGTACAGTACATAACTCTATATATATTTTTTGACTGGTATTGAAGCATTTTCAGCATCTACAGCTAGTTAATCTAGTTAAGAAACATAGCTACTACTTTTGTATATTTTGTGTGCTCCCTGTGTGCTCTTACTACTGTACTGTATGTGCACTGAAACATCGAAATTTCCCCACTGTGGGACGAATAAAGGAACTCTTATCTTAGTTGCCGACCTACACTTTCTATCCCGCAAGCTCTGTACAGCATATTTACGCTAGCGTTATCTATTTTCAGAGGAGTCCGGCATTAATTCGGTCTCTTTAAGAGAAGCTGGTGGAATCGCTAACGGGGTTAACGGGAGTAAGATTTTCTCTTTCCCCAGAGACACACCACTATTCTTCATCTCCAACTGCACCTTCAACGGGAACGTCCAGTTTAATATGAATAAGTAGCCAGCCTCGCTGTAACTCGCCTCGCCACACTGCCTTGCCATGGCACGTTGCAGAGCAATGACAAAACCTTTGTAAGTAAGTAATGTTTATGTATAAAGCGCATTTTACAGACCAAGGTCATCCAAAGCACTTTACGATGTTCAGAGTTCAGATGTTGTTCCAATCATTCCACACACTGTGATGATAGAAGCGAGTCGCCGTCAGCCCCCAATCAACACCATCCATTCACTCCCTCATATGCACTCATACCTATTGTGCATGTTTTTAGTGGTAGGGGAATCCGGAGCAACCGGAGGAAACCTACGCAGACACGGGGAGAGCATGCAAACTCCACTCAGAAAGGCCCTGTTCCGACCGGGATTCGAACCCAGGACCTTCTTGCTGAGAGGCGAGAGAGCTAAACCCTCAGCCACCGTGCCGCCATGGGAACTATCGGCCTTCGTAAAGGTGGACTGAAGTTTATTTTGTGTGTCCCGTTGACAGATAGCCGTGTATTAAATAGGGATATGTATATACTAACCTGATCAAGTGTTCAAAGGCTTTCTTCTCTTTGGAAAGCGCAGTGAGGTATTTTTGTTCCTCCGTAGATCCTCCATAGATTAGGAAATACACTCTGAAACACACAGAGAATTCTTTGATATTTATATTTATTAGAGGTGTTTTGGCTGGTGCTCTGTGTACTAGGAGCAGCCCTGACTGCAGAATGACCCAGAAATGGATAAAGGGGAAGAAAATGGAAGGAAGGATAGGTATTTTTTTTTCAGATCCAATACAGATAAATAGAACCAATATTAATTTGCAGTAAAAATGAAAATATTAGTAAAATGGTGAACACAAACTCCAAAAGAATTAGTGCAAGTGAAGTGTTTATATTTATTTTTATATTATATTTAGTTGTATAATAGTTTTTGACCTGTAGGCTGGACTGGATTTAAGTAAAAAAAAAAAAAAAAAAATCAATACAAATAAAAAACAGCAATAATACTGGTCTGTATCAGTGCCAATAATCAGGGAACACATAATACAATCTTGTCAACAGAACTTACCGGAGTGGTTTTCCAAGCCTGCAGGCTTTGTAGACCTCCAGCTGCCTCACAAAGCTCATCTCGGCATCGTAAAGAACCACATACTTGGGCTCCACCTCCCAAAGCACGCGGGTCAGGCTGTGGGGGTCCGTACAGCCTTTGAGCGGGTGGATGAGGATGAGGGGTTCCTGCAGCACGCCGTAGTACGCGTCTGAGGACAAACCCAGCTCCATTTGCTCCACCTCTTCTCCCTCCGTGAGCTCGTCTTCACTGCTGCCCATCACCACAGACTGCCCAAACATCTGAGTAAGTGTCAGAGAGGACTGTGTACACTTCGGAGCCGCTTCTTTCGCCTTCTTGGTTGTTTTTTTCAACTTGCTTGAAGCTAGGTAAGAACAATCAGAGTTCAACAAGTTGAAGTCAAGTCCAAGTCTCATTTGCACAGATTAAAATGAGCTACATGTAAAAATCTGGCCAAAAGTGGTACTGCAATCACGGTCAAAATTCTGTAGTCCTCTCCCACTCCCACCTATAATTATAGATCCATGATGTAGTTCAGAGACTGTATTGCTCTGACAGGGTGAGTCGGTCTATGTTCGTACTCAAGCGTGTGTCTGTGTGTGTGTCTGTCTGTCTTTCTCTGCATGCGTGATATTGAGCAGCCCTACCTAAATATAGAAAATCTTCATATGAAATACAATTGAAAATGAAAGTAATTGTGTTTCATTCAGCATCATTAGGATTGTTTTAAAGGACTGCAGAAAAAGCTGTATAAATACTTGAATGCCCTACTTTTCACTTTTCCATACTCAAAATAATAAAATTATGTATTATTTGACTTTTACTTCTAAGTTATGAAGTAACTTGTGTGTGAAATTTCATTTAGAAAAAAAAAATCAAAATCTTGATTTATGGTTTTAAACCTGACAAAATGTGCAAAAGTTCAATGTGTATTAGTACTTTTGAGCATTGTTATGGTATTATTTGGGTGCAATTGGCCAGGGGGGGTGGGGTGTTTTTCCCCTTCTCGTTTGAACATCTTATCGCACAAGGCTTGGCCGCTGCATGCATGAAAACTACCAACACAATGTCCCGTGCACCACACGCAAACCAGGAGCAGTGCTTCTCAGTGCCTTGAAGAAGCTATACTCGATTTTTTCTTTTATGAGTTCATAAAAATGCTTATTACTACATACCAGTTGTATTCAAATCCGTAATTTAAGTAAGTAAGTAAGTTTTTATTTATATACCACCTTTTCAAAGCGGTTTACAATTGTTAATTTTTGGGCATTTGTCTCTCACTCCACACAGAGATGGGAGCGGGGTCGCCAGTACAGGAAGCGCATGCCAGAACTATTGGACATATTTTTAGTGGTAGAGGAAACCGGAGTACCCGGAGGAAACCTACGCAGACACGGGGAGAACATGCAAACTCGACTCAGAAAGGCCCTGGTCCGACCGGGATTCGAACCCAGGACCTTCTTGCTGAGAGGCGAGAGTGCTATCCACTCAGCCACCGTGCCGCGACCTTATGACGGGTTTGATTTATTTAGAAATACAGTTTTAATACCATTTTATATTAGAAGAGAACTACTAAAGGTTTCAAAATCAGTTGTTGTTTTTTTGTCTGATCCCCCCAAATCGAAATAACCCCATAGCAACAACCTTAGAGACAAAAAAACTTCACAGCCCTTGGTGACGTCAGAGTGGGTACGTTTCAACGCTGTAAGTTTACAATTTGGTATTCGTTCTTTTTTCGCGGATATTCAAGATGACAAGGCCGTGTACAGCGAGTCTGACATAAATACTAGATTGTAATTCTTCGTTGGCACTGAGATAGTCCAGTGGTTGTGTCCAGATACTGGGGTTCAAATCCCACCTCAGACACTTTTTCACTCTCAAACGGCAATTTATGTGTAGTGAGCAATTGTCACCTGTAGAGTGCAGTATTGTGTTGGGCATCAGTGGAGAGAAGAGAGAAAAGGCAGTCCTGTGGCATAGATCCATGGTTTTCAATGCATGGGCGTTACCCGCTGTGACGTCACACACAGGTTAGAGCATAGACAGCTTAAATTCATGAAAAACACGTTATTTTTATAAAATATAGGATTTTTTCAGATTGACATTGTCATGCAATTTTGATATCCACAATTTTTTTGTTTTTTTTTACCCGGCATAAGGTCTTTAAGTGAAAACTTGAGCTCATTGATTCAGCTTGTGTATGAATTCAGGCCGTAAAAAGTGCTGAGTAGAGACTTAGCATGACGCACGCTCTCCTCCAATCACCGAACGAGGAGCGAACACGCTGCGTCCTATAGTGTCTACAGCGCTGATAAACACAGTACCATGTTAACTCCTTTTGCTGTAACTGCAGACATCAAAACGGTCCAAACGACACAACAGTGACGAGGAGAAGAGGGAACTAAAGCAAAAAAATGATCAAAGTAGAAATCAAGCCCCGGTGAACAAAAGCTAACTTACATTGTATCCTCTGGAGATACTTGTGGGAGAGACCTGCAGGTGCGGGGCCATCTCGGACTATCTATGTTCGGACTTGAAACTAGCGGTAATCTTTAAGTTATATATTTGGTTAGCTGTGCGTTGCTTTTGTACCATTTCATCAGTGATTGTTAGTTAGTGGTTGTTACAGCTTACAAAAAGTTGCGTTCATGCTAGAGTTAGAATATGTAAAACTAGATGGCTCCGTGGCCTGAGAGCGTAGGGGAAATGAGAAGCCTGTGAGCAAGTTGAGGGGCGGTGCTAAACATTCAAACCTTGCAGAAACGGGTATAGCTCCTTTAAGAAAATACATCCTGCTTTTGTCATGTGCATGCGTGCATTTTACATTGAAAAGAGTTAGGTACAGTACAGACCAAAAGTTTGGACACACTTTCTCAATGAGTTTCCTTTTTTTTCATGACTATTGACTGTAGATTCACCCCCAAGCTGTGTTAGGGCTATTTTACCAAAAAGGAGGAGAGTGGTGGGGGGCTGGGCTCGATGACCTGGCCTCCACAGTCACCGGACCTGAAGCCAATCCAGATGATTTTGGGGTGAGCTGGACCAAAGAGTGAAGGAGAAAGGGCCAACAGGTGCTTAGCATATCTCTGAACTCCTTCAAGACTGTTGGAAGACTATTTCAGGTCATATCTCTTGAAGCTCATTAAGAGAATGCCAAGAGTGTGCGAAGCAGTAATCAGAGCAAAAGGTGGCTACTCCGAAGAAACGAGAATGTAAGACATTTTAAGTCGTTTCATACTTTAATAAATACTAATTTAATAATTCCACACGAGTTAATTCATAGTTCTGATGGCTTCAGTGTGAATCTACAATTTTCATAATCATGAAAATAAACTCTTTGAATGAGAAGGTGTGTCCACACTTTTGGTCTGTACTGTATATGCAGACAAATTCATGAAAACCTTGCGCTTGCAAACAGTGCAATATGTGCAACGGCTTCTCTATTGATAAATGCTGTAACTCGTTCCACACACAGACGCGCAGGTGAACAGCGCATTCGTTGACAGATTCTGAAAGCCCTTCCCTCTGCTGTAGCCGTGTGCAAGTATTGTGCATTTCAAGCAAATTACTTTTGCGTTTTTCTCCTTTCATGTGAAAGTTAATCGTCTCGGGATATATGACGCATTATGCAAATTATATGCTACTCCAAAAGAAGAAAAGCTTCTTAAGTAACTCGCTATTTTGACAGCATATATAATTAATCATCCCCGTTCTGTCCATTGACAAATTAAAAATTGACTGCAAGTTTTGAAAGACCAGTATGACACTTGAATAATAATCATTCCTAGCCTGTGTAGACTGCAGCGTTACCTGTGGCATTGACATGTCTCTGTATCTCCAGCGTGGCGGCAGTGGTGGGGTCTCGTCTGCCCACAGTCCTAGTGTAGAGGTGGTGAAGCAGCCGCTCGGAGCCCTGCCGGATGTACTGCTGGAGCTGGGAACATGTGCGGTCATCACTGGCACATATTAGCACACGGCCTACACCCAGTTACAGAGAAATGTAACAAAATGTCAGAGAAATGTATGGTATAATCACGTACATTTGTAAACTTTTCAGTGGTCAGTTATTGCAATGACTAAGGCTACATTAAAAGTGATGATGAAGGTATGAAACATTACTAAACACAAAACATATATTGGTCAACAGTAGTTCAGTTGGAAGAGCATTTGCCTTTGAATGCTTGAAGTTGTACAATATCAACAGGGCTCTAAGGGACTTTGTTGAAAACTCGATGGGAATGTGGAAGACCACCCTTGAGGCAAATGGCCGCTCGCACAAGTGACCATCAAATGTGGTATCTACCAAGGAGATGCTCTGTCCCCACTACTGTTCTGCATAGGCCTCAACCCTCTAAGCCAAGTAATTGACCAGACTGGCTATGGATACCGCCTCAGGAACGGAGCAAAGATCAGTCACCTCTTCTACATGGATGACATCAAGCTGTACGCCAAGAGCGAGAGAGACATCGACTTTCTGATCCAAACCACCAGGATCTACAGCCATGACATCGGGATGTCATTCGGACTCGAGAAATGTAGCAGGATGGTGACTCTGAGAGGCAAGGTAGTCCACACAGAAGGGATCCCACTCCCAGAGGGAACAATAGCAGACGTTGAGGACAGTTACAAGTATCTCGGTATACCACAGGCAAATGGCAACCTCGAACAGGTGACGAGGAAAGCGGCAACTGCCAAATACCTCCAGCGAGTAAGGCAGGTCCTAAGAATCTGGCTCAATGGCAAGAACAAGGCCCGGGCAATTAACAGCTACGCCCTGCCAGTGATCAGATACCCTGCAGGAATAATCAGGTGGCCAAAGGAAGAGATTCAGACCACGGATGTTAAAACTCGAAAGCTCCTTACCATGCATGGCGGGTTCCATCCCAAATCCAGCACCCTGAGACTGTACGTAAGCCGTAAAGAAGGAGGCCGAGGACTAGTGAGTGTGAGAGCCACTGTCCAGGACCAAACATCCAAACTCCATAACTCCATCATGGAGAAGGCCAAAAAGGATGACGTACTCAGTGAATGTCTCAGGCAGTGGCGAGATTAGGAGGTGCTGGAGGAGAGCCCATCATGGGAGAACAAGCCCCTACACGGCATGTACCACCGGAGCATAACAGAAGTGGCTGATCTCAAGAAGTCCTACCAATGGCTTGAAAGGGCTGGCCTACAGGACAGCACAGAGGCACTCATCATGGCTGCACAGGAACAGGCCCTGAGCACCAGAGCGATAGAGGCCCAGATATACCACACCAGACAAGACCCAAGGTGTCGGTTGTGCAAAGAGGCACCTGAGACGATCCAACACATAACTGCAGGGTGCAAGATGCTGGCAGGGAAGGCCTACATGGAACGCCATAACCAAGTGGCTGGCATAGTGTACAGAAACATCTGTGCAGAGTATGGGCTGGAAACCCCAAGGTCTAAGTGGGAAACTCCTCTAAAAGGTGGTGGAGAATGAGCGTGCAAAGATCCTGTGGGACTTCCAGATACAGACCGACCGAATGGTAATGAACCAACCTGACAGCCGTGGTGGTGGACAAAGGGCAGAGGACAGCCGTGGTGGTGGACAAAGGGCAGAGGACAGCCGTGGTGGTGGACAAAGGGCAGAGGACAGCCGTGGTGGTGGACAAAGGGCAGAGGACAGCCGTGGTGGTGGACAAAGGGCAGAGGACAGCCGTGGTGGTGGACAAAGGGCAGAGGACAGCCGTGGTGGTAGACAAAGGGCAGAGGACAGCCGTGGTGGTGGACAAAGGGCAGAGGACAGCTGTGGTGGTGGACGTGGCAATTCCAAGCGATGGTAACATCCAGAAAAAGGAACATGAAAAGCTTGAAAAATACCAAGGTCTCAGAGAGGAGCTGGACAGGGCCTGGAGGGTAAAGGTGACAGTAGTGCCCGTGGTGATCGGTGCACTCGGGGCAGTGACCCCGAAGCTAGAAGAGGTTACAGCGGATCCCTGGAACAACCTCGGACATCTGTGTCCAGAAATGTGCAGTGCTAGGAACAGCAAAGATACTGCGCAGAACCCTCAAGCTCCCAGGCCTCTGGTAGAGGACCCGAGCTTAGAGAGGGGTAACCGCCCGCGGAGGGCCAAAGGTGAGATATTATATTTATATATATATATATATATATATATATATATATATATATATAAAATTGTATTGCACATCTTTTTTAAATGGATATCGCACACACCAATAATGCTATTTTTATTGGTACATCGTGCAGCCCTACTCTGAATGTTTGTTATTGTATCTTTTTATTCAGCTTTTTAAAGCTGAATAAAACTGAGTTATTCAGTTCTGAACTTGTGATACTGGTTCCATCCAGATCAATACAGACATTTATAGGCTTTCACATGCAACAATTATAAATATAAAAAACTATTCGAGACTAAAGTCATAACCAGTCATGAATAGAAGTCTAGAGTTGTGGACTGACCTGGTTCCTGATTGGAGCTCTGGTTCTCCTTCTCGATCTCCTGCATAACCTCAGTCAGGGCCCCCCATTTAGGACTCTTTTCTAACACCAGTTCCCGTTTTGCCACTGAAGCACAACAGTATTTTATCGACTATAAGCAGCTCCAATAGAAACACGTTTACTCAGATGGTCAGTTACCGGCGGTGGAGGGTTTTTCAGCCTCCATCCCCAGTTTGGCCTTTTTCTTACTCTCTGGGATTCGGTACACTCTGCTCCTTGCATTAACAAACATAGAAGTGCTGGAATCGAGAAACAGCCAGCCTAATGATCAAAAAAAGAACGTGTGGTATTAGACATGAGCAATATTGCCACTTTTCAGCAATTTGAGGGTGAGTTGTCCTTTAAAATGTGCCCACTTAAAGCTGGGATTACCTAACCAACCAAAATGCATTATTAATGCAAGGGAAAATTAAGGTAACCCTGCTTTGATTTAGCGAGATTGCACTTCGGGAGGAAACAGGGGAGAGATGGACCAATTCTGAGGCTTTATAATCCAGCTCGGTTTCTTGAAGTGGCGTATTTATTGCAGGGAGCAGTCGATCCGCGGTGGGTACATTATGGCCAAATTATGGCACTTGCTGAACTGTTGTCAAAGGAGCTCACTAGGGCTGGGATAAACAATTATTTTGTAAACGATTAATCTAGCGATTATTTTTTCAATGAATCGATTAATCTAACGATTCGTTTTTTCAGTTCGATAATCCATTTTCTCCCCATTAATTGACTAATATCAATGTATACATGTTGATTTACATATCTGAATGAAAAAAACATGAGTTCCTTAACAAAATATATTGCTCTTAAAATTCAAAAATAAGACATTCTCATGGTGCTTTCAGACCGGCAACGCTGAAACGCCGAAGCCCCACTCACCAGACGCGCATTCTCTAGTTTTCAGACGCAGAGGACTTCACACCAGAACGTCCTGACGCTAGCCGGAAGTAGCCGGCCGGCTCTGATGCTAACAGAGCTATGCTAGCGGCTTCTTGTGTACAGATCTTCTCCAATATGCAGCTTTGCAGCGTGTCTTTGAACAGAGACTTTCCATGGGCTTTATAAAAAAGTAGTATGGGTTCACGGAGGTGCGCCATACGTTTTTTCATATTATTAAACGGTATTTCCACATTGGTGAACACACTTGAAGCCGTTGCATAAGGTCACGGGAGCATGACAACGCATATGTTCACAAGCACAGAGTCCCCCATTGTCAACCCTGGTTTGAGTTCTGGTGAAGCCTGGTGTGGGTCCTGTTTTTGCTGTTTACGAGTATTTTCAGTCTGCTCACTCAGTCCGCTAATGTCCCCGTGACCACTTTGCTGCTCTCTGATTGGTTGTCGCACGAACGTCCCAAGGAAAGGATGAGCAGAATCCAGCTCCTGTGGGCGTTGATTTTCGCTCCTGCTCCTCCCTTTTGACTTTCCCGCCAAGTCCGTGCGTGTCAACTGAACAGTCCGTTCATGCATGCCGAGAGGTCCGTGCGTTGCGACGGTCGAACGCGCGTCACCATATACTTTGCATTGAAACCCGACGCAACGCATAATTCGGTCTGAAAGCACCATTAGTCAGAGGTAGCATAAAACCTTGAAGCCTTGAAAACGCATCAAGCTTTCTGAAAAAAATGCATCTTGTTATTCTTCTTTCAGATGAAAATAACACTTGATGTTTAGCATTCAAGAAAATAAAATAAAAACAATGTAATCTTGAGGGCTTTAAGCTAAAGAGAGTGCTTTTCTAGCAAAAAATTGTGAAAATAAACATTTAGAATTCAACAGTTATGTTGAACATAGGCCTAACTGACTTAAAAAATCATCTTCATTCACAAATAACAAATAAGACTAGGACACTTTCCTTTCCCCTTAAGAATATTATCTGTCTCTTTGTTTGCTTGGGAACATAACCACAGCCCGAGTTGTCTATCTCTATTGACTAAACCAGCGGCGCTAGCATGTAGCGCTAGCATGTAGCGGCGCCAGCATGTTCGCCGATGCGGAAGTACCGTCTAAAAAAAAAAAACTGATGGCACACCTCTGTGAACACTTACTACTGCTATATAAATTCTTTGTAAGGTCTCTGGACACAGAGACACTGCAGAGTTGCCTTTTGGAGAAGAACTTTACACAAAAAGCCGCTAGCATAACTCTGCTAGCTCCGCTAGCCTAACTTCGCTAGTTTAACTCTGTGAGCCAGGACTTCTGGTCTGAACACCCCTAGCCTCTGTAATTTAGAGAATGTGCATTTAGTGTGCATGGAAACTGCGTTCCAGTGGCGGTTTGAACGCCCCATAAGACGACACCCTCGTACTACTGCTACTGCTGCTACTACTGCTCGCCGCCATCTTTGTTATGAGTATGACGCATTGATGTGCGTATTTTTTGCTTCGACGTCATCGATTACGTTGATGCATTGTCCCAGCCCTAGAGCTCACAGTCGCTGGAGGTGGGAACCGCTGAAATTACAAAGCGGCCGCAGTTGCTCCGGAGGTCAAAATGCTGCAGGAGAATGTGAAATCCCGTTTGTGTACTTAGAGTAAACAGCAGCAAGTACCCCCCACAGAAATTGAATTTTCAGCGGGAATATTCTCATCCCTGGTATATCCTGATGCATTTCATTGGTCAAAAGAATTCAAGAGAATTGGTTAAAAAAATTAACCAATTTAATTTGGGTACATTTTATCGTATCGTATTTTATAGTAGCTCAGTTGGTAGAGCATTGGCCTTAAGCCCAGAAGGTCGTGGGTTCAATTCCCACCTCTGCACCTTCTCCACCGACTCCCACTGATGACTGCTGTCGTTGTGTCCTTGGGCAAGACACTTAACCCCACTTTGCCCAAAGCCCCCACTGAAAGATCAGGGCTATGCTCACACTCAGAGAGCAGCCGTCCTCCTGTGGACTCACCACCTGCAGAGGGTCAGTGAGGGGCTGGTGCTATGAGACTTGGGTGGCATCTCTGATTGCCACCCCCCTGACCCAGAAATGGATTAAAGGGTAGAAAATGGATGGATGGATGGTTAAAAAAAGATAAACAGCCATGTCCGCTTTCCCAGACTTAAAGAGGCAGAAACGTGGTAATGAGTTCCTGGCCTGAATGGGTTAAGATATATACATCCCCACCAATAAACAATCTAAGACTTCTAAAAAAAATTATCAGACTTTAATACTGCACGGATTAACAAAATCCTAATCTGTGATATATTTACGACTTGGCAGCATCACATTGGCAATTTCACAAAAATGCATTGATGGCCAAGAGTTATAGATCTTAGGGCCTATCGAAGATGGAAATCCATCTGAATAATAAACCCACAATAGCTTTCTTGAACAATTAATTCTCAAATCTTGGTGGCTGTCAGATTTGGGACATGAGTTTTTACCAGAGTTGGACCCGAAGCTCTTGTGGCTGGAGTGCAGAGACTCCAGTAGGTTTAGGAAGGTGACACAGTCATACTGGGTTAGATAGAGCAGCAGCACACGGAGCACCTTCAGGTCTTGCACCAGGCCCTTGGTCTTGGCCCCCAGCTGGTGCCACAGGGGGTCCAGGTAGTGGCGGATGGTCTAGAAAAAAAAACAGAGGAGCTACACTTAAGACCTGGTTATATTTGACTAGCAATAGCATTATAGCAATAGGAATAGCCTAGAATGAGTCTAGTGTGTGAATGGTTGGTGGTGGTCGTCGGAGGGGCCGATGGCATATAATGGTTGCCTCGCTTCCGTCACTGTGCCCCAGGGCAGCTGTGGCTATAGTAGTTTATCACCACTGTGTTGAGGTAATGAACATCAACTCCTAATAATCAACTCCATTAATAAAGTTAATGACATGAAGCGTCTTTGAGTGTCTAAAAAGTGCTATATAAAACCGATGCATTATTATCATTATTATTATTGATATCTGAAATGTGATTTTCTCAGGTTATAAGCCACTCAACATGATCTTTGTGAAGTTTACAGTCAGCTTATCCCCAAATAGATACTTATAGCTGCAGTTGTAGCCAGCTAGATCTGCTTTTGTCTTTCCGCTGATCCACATGTTTTCCACTTTTAAATTTTTTGAATGAAAATTCGCAAGAATGGGTGCATTAGAGTGTCGAGGGCGACAGTAGCTCAGTTGGTAGAGCATTGGCCTTTGGGCCTGAAGGTCGTGGGTTCAAGCCCACCATAAGACCTACTTCACGACTCCCACTGATGACTGCTGTCGTTGTGTCCTTGGGCAAGACACTTAACCCCACTTTGCCTGAAGCCCCCACTGAAAGATCTCAGCTCCTGCGGACTCACCACCTGCAGGAGGATCAGTGAGGAGCTGGTGCTCTGTGTACTGGGTGAAGCTCTGACTGCCACCCCCCCGACCCAGAAATGGATTAAGGGGAAGAAAATGGATGGATGGATGGATGGGTGCATTAGAGAAAAAGCCTGTACAGCCTACACTTCAAGAAAAATAATTATTCCAGCACAGTCTTACTTACAAAATAAAAACAAATATTGGTAATGCCTTCAGTAAGCTTTCAAAAGCAAATATGAGATGAGCACCAGGAGGTCACCATCTTAAGTAGGGTGTACAGTCAGAGACAGATCATTTAAACAAAAATAACATATATAATTGATTGTATCTTTTGACATCATTTGTACGACAATAGATTTCGATTTTCTATTTAAACTAAATACATAGTTCTGTAAAAAAAGAAACAGAAAACATTAACATAATTTACACAGAAACATTTCAAGAGGTAAAAAGACTGACACTGACAGACAGTACAGGCTGGCCTACCACTTGTCAAGTACAGTGCCTTCCAAAAGTATTCACCCCCCTTGGCTTTTTACCTATTTTGTTACATTACAGCCTATAGTTCAATGTTTTTTAATCTGACTTTCATGTGATGGATCAGAAAACAATAGTCTAAGTTGGTGAAGTGAATTGAGGAAAATATATACATAAAATTATTTTTCAGAAATAAAAAACTGGAAATTGGCATGTGCATATGTATTCACCCCCTTTGTTATGAAGCCAATAAAAAGCTCTGCTGCAACCAATTACCTTCAGAAGTCACATAATTAGTGAAGTAAGGGACAGTGTTGTTGAGAAGAACAAGTCAGGGTTAGGTTATAAAAAAATATCCAAATCTTTGATGATCCCCAGGAGCACCATCATATCTATCATAACTGTTAGGAATTTGGTGTATTAGCATATTAATAAATGTATGGGTTTTCATATAGAATGTGTTTGGGACCATTTCAGCACTCATGGCAGGAAATCACTTATCTAAGTCATGAGACCAATGTGACGTTGGAGACTGCAGACTTCACCGTTCTCTGGGGTCAATGGGACTGTGGACGTCTAGAAGGACAATAACATCCTGTAGAGAGACCTTCAGGCTCAGACTCGGGACTGGTCTAAAAGGTTATTGAATGACATGTGTATTGATGACATCCTGTGACTTGACCAATCCATGAAGCTATAAGGAGCTGCGCCTCCTTCATTCTTTGTTTTTTTGCTTTACATCTAGCGAGAGACACGGACTGGTGCAGTTTGTAATACATTGTCTGTGTGCTGATGTCCAGACAACTGTAGTTTTTTCACAATAACCAAATGGAAAGAACATGGCACAACAGCAAACCTGCCAAGAGACGGCCGCCCACCAAAACTCACAGACCGGGCAAGGAGGGCAATAATCAGAGAGGCAGCACAGAGACCTAAGGTAACCCTGGAGGAGCTGCAGAGTTCCACAGCAGAGACTGGAGGATCTGTACATAGGACGACAATAAGCCGTACGCTCCATAGAGTTGGGCTTTATGGCAGAGTCGCCAGAAGAAAGCCATTACTTTCAGCAAAAAACAAAATGGCACGTTTTGAGTTTGCGAAAAGGCATGTGGGAGACTCCCAAAATGTATGGAGGAGGGTGCTCTGGTCTGATGAGACTAAAATTGAACTTTTCGGCCATCAAGGATAACGCCATGTCTGGCAAAAACCCAACACATCACATCACCCAAAGAACACCATCCCCACAGCATCATGCTGTGGGGATGTTTTTCAGGAGCCGGGACTGGGAAACTGGTCAGAGTTGAGGGAAAGATGGATGGATACAGGGATATTCTTGAGCAAAACCTGTACCACTCTGTGCGTGATTTGAGGCTAGGACGGAGGTTCACCTTCCAGCAGGACAATGACCCCAAACACACTGCTAAAGCAACACTTCAGTGGTTTAAGGGGAAACATGTAAATGTGTTGGAACGGCCAAGTCAAAGCCCAGACCTCAATCCAATAGAAAATCTGTGGTCAGACTATTTAAAAACAAACTACAATTGAAAACGAAATAGATTTTCCTTTATGCAGTTTAATCTAAATCCCCATGGAGTATAAGTGTAACAGGAAATAAGCCTTAAAACACGCTTGTAAACGAGATGGCGCTGCCGTTGTAAAACAGTGAAAATGTAGATGATCAGTTTTCTAATAACTTCACTTACAGTGACACAATGCACCTTCAAAATAACTTCAAATGAAATATATCAAACTGTATTAAACACATGCATTATTTACATGAAATATCATTTTTTTTTAAATAATCATTACTCTAAATACAAATGTTATAACAGAAAAAGTATTTTACAAAAGCCTCCTTGGGTTTTCATGCTTGTTCTTTCAACGTGTCAGAGTAACTGTGCTGTAGTACAACGCTCGGTCCAGCTGGTGGCGCTAATACTAACTTTAGTGACCACCGCGTTGTGTGACTTAAGTTTCCTGTTTACATTCTGCTACTGTAGCTAACTGCTAGAGCAGTGTCTCCCAAAGTGGGGTCCGCGGCCCCCTGGTGGGCCGCGAGGGTACTGCAGGGGGGCCGTGGGAGGTCATAAAAAAAATAAAAAAATAATATAATTATTTAATGTTAAATGTATAATGTTTTGTTTGTAATATTAAAATATTTGTGTTCATTATTTGACTTGAATAAGCCACTGTAATCATTTTTGTATTACAATGTTTGTAGCAGAGGCTATTTCCCCAAAATAAAATAACCAGAAGAGCCTATTCTTAATGTTGTCTTCTTGGTTATTATTTTGGGGGGCCACGCAGACCCATGAGATTTTTAAGGGGGCCTCGGTGTTACTGAGTTTGGGAATGGCTGTGCTAGAGCATGGAACACGTTTGTATCAGAGCAATGAGAGCTATGTGTGAGACGTGTACTTCCCCAAAGTGCAGCAGCTCAGTGGGACACTGTGTGTGCGCGCCACGGACACGGGAGCGCACTTCAGAGTAACGAGCGCTGAGAAATGAATGAATGACAATGAAAGATGACCGGAGCCTGTCTGCCTGCCTGTGTGCTCTAGCGATTAAACAAAGACTGATTCTTGAACGTTTGACGTGTTATTGCAACAGCAACAACTGTTAGAGCAAACGTCAGGACAGAGGGAGACTGTTAGCATTAGGTTAGCTTTCAAAATGACTGCTCAACACCTGCGGTTAGCGTGTTCGATTTTCATTAAAAAGAAAATCGCCCTAAACGTCAAATTCGACTAAATAATTAATCGATTTATCCCCCAGCCCTACCTGGAGTCTCTTCATAAAGACGACCCCATTGTTATTAGAAGCGCAGACAAAGGGGGAGTTTTTGTGATTCAGGATCGCACGGCTTATGTTAAAGTGGACATATCGTGTTTTCAAATAATTGATTTTTACATCTAAATCATTAATTTGTGGCCTATATAAAGCGTAACTGCAATGCCTGGGTCTGAGTCTCAATATTTGTAGCTCCAGGGGCCTTTCTTCTACACCTGTTCTGAGGTGCGTCTGAGAGCAACCTGTTTTGGTGCTGTCTCTTTAAATGCAAATGAGGCGCTTTTGACCACGCCCCCATCCAGGTGACACAGGTTCAACTCCACCCCGAGCGGTCATTTTTGTAGTTACTTAGCACAGATACAATTATCTCATAGAAACTTCTCATTACATCGCAAACATGAAGCAGTCCTTCCTCATTGACTGAAAGCAAATGTTAACCCTTTAAGCGCCAGAGGTTTTTTTCCAAAACGCTCAATTTTGACATCTTTCAAAAGGCTATATCTTAAAAGTGATAAGAGAAAAAGGCTTTCTGTAAATTAGAAAAATATTAAGGATGGTCCAAAGTTTATGTAGAGAATCAATCCCCCCATCTAATTGGCACATTATTGACGTCATTTGGCGTTAGAAATAGTGGATTCACATCTTTCACACCTCACCCACCGCTTCTGTACTAACCAATAGACTAATATCACAACAATTCACATTACACAGAGGAACTAGGCAGGGATGTCCACTCTCTCCCTCCCTCTTCACTATATTCATAGAACCTCTTGCCGCAGCAATCGGCCAGAATTCACATGTCACAGGAATACAGACACCAACAACCCATCACAAAATAAGTCTATATGCTGATGATATACTACTCTACCTGCAGCAACCATACACCTCACTTACAGAAACAATAGGAATCATAAAGGCATACTCCAACATCTCAGATTACAGCATCAACTTTCAAAAATCAGTTATTTTCCCAGTGGGGGGTGGTTGGGATGTGACAGCCCATACCCCTCCT